GTTAGTGGGACTCACACAAGCACAAGTTGTTCCTTCCTACCCCATTAGGGACTAGGGACATTTGTCCCAACTACAGGGTACTGGACAAGCACCTAGTACTCACATGTAGGTACTCTGCAACTAGGCCGAATGAGCTAGGATGTTGGCCAAGGTCAGTCCTCCTAAGGTAGGAGACACTTGAAGGCTTTTAGGCAGGCAGGCCCACGGGTATGTTTTCATTGCCATGAATCGGGTTACAGGAAGCAAGATTATCCTTAAGGGCAGGGATCCCAGAGTTATATGACATCTCAGTCCCAATTGTCGGTGAGGGAGCCACAGACTTACTTTGTTACTCCCTACCCCACCATGGGCCACGGAAGCCATTATCAGTTTCAGGGTGCTACACAAGCCCCTACTGCATCAGATGCAGGGACTCCGCAGTTAGGTCAGATGGGCCAGGGCTTGGGTAAAGGCTGAGGACAGGGATTATAGGCCGGGACTTTGGGGACCCAGAGGCATGTCCACGCCATCACACCTCAGAATGAACCGTTGGATTAGTCGAGAACTGACGGTACATTTCTTACTTCCTTGTTTATGAGCACATGTGTCATTTGATTCAGGCGTGTCATATACTATTATTTTCACATTTCATTGATGGAATAGATTTAGAAATCACAACCCTAAAGGAGTCCTTATGGAAAAGTAAACCTTAGGAGCTAAGGTTTGCATTGTTAAGATATGTCAAGGATGTGAGTTTGAGATCTCGGGGATTTTACTCATCGTGGACCTTAGGTTTATAGACATGTCAGAATTCGACGTCATCCTTGGGATGAACTGGTTGGCAGCATATCTGGTCGTCATTGATTGTGATCAGAAGAGAGTAACTGCCTACACACCGGATGGTGTTTGTTTCAAGTTTCAGGGAAAAAGTATGATGCTTTGCCCCAAATTGTGTATGACACTCGATGGCATGAGTAGTTGATGGGTTGGCATGTGAGCCTTACTCTAGAGGACGAGGTGAGATAGGAGTTGGATCTACCTCAGGTGATTTATGAGTTTGAGGACATTTTTTTGGATGAACTACCAGGATTATCTCCACACAGGGTTGTAGACCTCACTATTAAGTTACACCCTAGTGCATAGCCTATTTTTTGACTCCGCATAAAATGACACTAGAAGAGCATAGGCCATAGGTCTATCATCTTCCATTGCGAGAGTGAAAGAGGTTTAGAGTCCATGATATAGCTTAGGCCTTGATGACCATCACAACTTGGTATTAGAGGTACACAATGTATTGTGATGCCTCCAAGGACGGACTTGGATGTGTGTAGATATTGTCCATCTAGGACTGGGTATGGTTGGGTAAAGGTGATGAGGGCTGGACCATTCACAGGAATGCTAGTCTTCGATTTAGGGGGATAGGTTGTGGTTTCCTAGTTGGCGAATCTAAGAGAAGAGATCCTTAGAGAGTTTCATTGCTCTCGTTTTGTGACTTATCTAAGTGGCATGAAGATGTACCATGAGTTTCATCGTTAATACTATTAGAGCGGGATAAAAAGGCACGTTGGAGACTTTGTCAGTAGATGTCTTACATGTTAGCAGGTTAAATTTGAGCCCTAGAGACCAGTAGGGTTACTCTAGCCTTTAGAGGTGGCTGAGTGGAGGTGGGAACACGTCATAATGGAATTTGTGACCCACTTATTATAGACATCGCTGGGACAAGACGTGGTGTGGGTAATAGTGGACTAGCTTACTAAGTCGACATACTTTTTGGCGGTGTGGACGACCTTTAGACTGGAGGAGTTCTGCAGGTGGTATATACGGGAGATAGTTCGATTACATGGGGTCCCCGTATTTATTGTCTCGGATTGGGAGCCTAGGTTTATGGCTCTCTTTTGGGAGAGCTGCTAGAGGGCCATAGGGACACAGTTGACGATAAGTCCAATATTTCATCCCTAGACGAACGGTCAATCCTAGAGGACCATCTAATGCATCCTAGACCTCAAGGGTAGCTGGGAAAAGCATTTACCCTTGGTGGAGTTCGTCTATAACAACAGTTATCAGATGAGCATACAGAAGACACTCTATGAGGCACTATATGGGAGGCCTTGTCGTTCTCTGGTGTGTTGGATGGAGGTGGGACAGAGACCCTCCACAGGTCTAGATTTGATTAGAGAAACCTTGGTGAAGGTGGACTTGATTCAGAAACATCTTTCTCATGGCTCAGAACCGGTAAAAAATCTATGCTGACAAGTGGCGGCGACCTTTGAAATTTGAGATTGGTGATCATGTATTCTTAAAGGTGATACCCAAAAGAGGAATGGTCAGGTTTGGCAAGCAGGGAAAGTTGTCGCTAAAGTTTATTGGGCCCTTCGAGGTACTCGAAAGGGTGGGTTCAGTGGCTTACTGGTTGGCGTTCCCACCAAATTTATCTGGTGTTTATGCGATGTTCCATGTTTCTATGCTTTGGAAGTGTACTCCAGATCTGACACATGTGGTGGATTGTAGTAAGTTGATTGTTGATGCAGATAGGACCTTTGAGGACAGACCAGTGCATATCATGGATAGTTGGGAAGAAGTTTTGCGAGGCAAGACTGAGAGGCTATTGAAGGTGCTGTGACAGCACCGAGGTATGGAGGAGGCGACATGGGAGTGTGAGGACACCATATGTACTAGTTATCTGTTCTTGTTCATGGATGGACGTACATGTTTACAATTATAAGTATAGTATTAATTATTGCATAAGCATGTGGTTAAGTGTGTATGTGTGTATGAATTTTAGGGACAAAATTCTTTTAAGGGGGAAAGAATGTCAAACCTGGGTAAATTTGAACTTTTTATGAAAAAGGGCAAAAGGATAATTTGTTGTTGTGGTACGGGTTACAACCTGAATTTTTTTAGAGCTCGGATAACAAACTGGACCTCACCGTGGGATTCATCTAGCAAAATCTAGCTACCCGTCAATTTTCATTGAATTCTGAGATAGTTGGAATTTGTTTCTTTTTACGAGACAGTCAGGTCTTGGGTGACCCAAAAATAAAATTTTAAATAAAATTTTGAAAGTTGGAAAATAATTTAAAGTAATTTGAAATAAAAATATTTTGAACTTGAACTGGAACGAAATTTAATCGTTTCGGGGTGAAAACGGACCCGGGAATAAGAAGACGTGTGGTGCGTTGTGGACCAAGCAATTAGAGGGTATAAAAAGGGGGAGCAAATCAGATTTCTTCTCATTTCTTTCTACTGGTTCAATGTTTGAGAGGAAGAGAGGGAAAAAGAGAGAAACCCAACGTTCTCTCTACGATCTACGGCCCTACGGTGCTCATATCAACACAAGCCAAGAACAAAAGTCAACCTCCTCGTCGTGGGTTATGCGAACATACCAAAAAGGAGGGTTTTTACCGAAGTCCAAGAAATGGGATTTGGGAAAAGTGAAGATTCTAGCTTGAATAGGGTTTTTAAGGGTTCTACAACTCATTTTACGCATCAAGAGGTAGGGTTTTCATCCTAACTAGGTTTATTTTCAACCTAGAAATGCGATATGGAATGGGTAGGTTGTTAAACATCTTTAGCACTTGCCTATTGTTGGGAATTTGGTGATTTGGGTATCTAAAATGGGTAGAATAAATTCTATCTTAAATTGGGTATGTAAAAATTACCTAATGTGATTCTTGAACTATGTGATGAAATTTGGGTATGTATGTGATTACATGATTGGGTGCCTTGAAGGTGTTTGATTAAATGCAAATGTGAAATTAAGTATGTTTGCATAGATAATGTGATTTCTTAGAAAAATGGTATTATGTGGGCATGCTATGTGTTGTATTGTGCCTTGTGAATTAAGTGTGTTATAGGCATTGACTATGTGCTAACATGCTTGGGATTTGTTATTGGATATAATGTTAATACATGTTCTATGATATGATAGCATTATGATGAATTGTGGACATTGTATGCTTTTGATATAATTGGCAATAAAATGGTGGAATTTGCTCATTTGGCATTAATTGCATATTAGGCATGATGTTGGCGTCACATTCATGGGTATTGGGCATGAGTGTGGGCATGTGTATGCATGGTTTGATCAAACACCATACTTGGTGGATGATGGGTGGGCTTAGAAAAAGTTGGAATGATGTTCTAACTGAGTGGCACGGTTGCATGAAAAACTTGCGTCGGGTATTACAAGCAGGGCTAGAGTCTCCCTCGGGTGCAAGACACAACTACCTGGTTCATACACTCTCCTAAGGTGAAATTCTAGAAAAGTGTAACGGTGTGCAGAACTGGCGGTGAAACTCCGCAGATCCATTACGCAACAAAGACACATGATTTTATTTTATAAAATAGTCATTTGATGTGTAACATCCAACAATGATTTGCTTTTATAAACACATGACTTTTATTTCAAGATGATCATTGGATGTATTTCATCAATGGTGGATTTACACACATTGGCATTGCATTGTCTTGAAGTGCATGAGTGAGTCTCATCTAATTTCATGCAATGTCATAGGATCGTTATCATTAAATGCGTATTCTTAATTGAAATGTTTTGAATGGTTGATTATTGCATGTGAATATTTCATATGCATCTAGGTTAGGGAGTAGTCTCTTTTAGAGATACCCTATTGAGCGTGACTCACCCTTTATGGGACAACATTTCAAGTGTGGGATACAATCTAGTGGACGGCTCTAATTCGGGCTCTTAAGGAGGAGGAAAAGTTGAGATGTGACTTTATTTTAAGTTTTTGTAAAAACCTTATGAAAACTTAATTTTGGCATGTATATATATATATTTTGAACCTTGATGGTACGATGGAATTTTATTGATTAAAAAATTAAATTACACCTAGTCAGGGGGCACTTATGTACCTTACCCCCTCAATGCACTCTAATTGCATAGAATAAAATTTAAAAGAGAGCAAAATGGATGCTTAGTAAATAATAAATGAAAAAATAAATTATAATCATGCTGCTCCTAAAATAGTATAGTGAGCTGAAAGAAGCAACTTAAATATGGGCTACAATAATGACGGTAGGTGTGAGAGTGAGCTGAGAGTGTTGCTGAGCTGATAGTTGAATGTGAGAGAAACAGTAGCCTGAGCTGTGAGTAGTGAGCCGAGGGGATCCTGCTGAGAGGAGGAGTAAGCCTTAAGCTGTGAGCTGGATCTGATAAGGGCATATGAAGGGGTAGCTGATAAGGCGGCTGAAATGAAGCACTTCTTATCTAATAAAGCAATTGACTTCTCTCGAAATAGGAGACATTTGATATGGTACGATGAACAAAGCATAAGGTAGCTAGACCATAGAGGCATTGTGAGAAACATAAAAATCCATCAAGAGTCCAAGAGAAAACGTCCAACAACAGATTTACAAAGAAGACCATAGAGAAATTTTCGTTTGGCGTCCTCTGCGATGGATGCAGCAAAGAAGAGACCTGTAGAAGATGAATATCCATTAAAGACCACCAAGAAATGAAGGCTTCCAAGATGTCCAAAGAGTCAGATCCAAGAAGAATTGTAGAGAATATGGCCCAAAAAAAACAGATTGGGCTTGAACATTGAGAAATTTCAATGAAAAGAATCCAATGCCAATACATGTGAGTTTTGACCTTTGAGGAGAAAATCAAAATTGCAACCCTGAAGAGAAGATCTGAAATTTGGTCCAACAACGAACCAGTGACATAATTACTGAAAAAGACAGCTAAAGAAGAAACCATCTAGAAGAAAACCAAGTACATAAGAAACTGAGACCAAGACGAGAAGAATTAAGGATGCAACAGCTCCTACTTCAACAGTTCTGCAGACCACAACCATCACAGGAGTCCAAGACCTGAAAGCTAAGTCTCATCCAGATAAGACTCTTTTCCTTAGTTTTCTAATCTGTCTTGAATCTTGCATCATGAGTAGTTGAATGTATGTAAGGAGATTGCTCATAGAATCATATGTAAAAGATTGTCTGTCTACGACCCTTTTGTTTGCCACTGCATTTGCCACTATGTTCCCCTCATGATAGCAATGTTGAATTAGAAATGTACAATTTTGAAGAGTAGCAATGATTTGTTTTAGTAGGATCCAGCACTTCCAAGACACTTTAACCCTCTTACTGACCATGTCAGCTAACAATTTTGAGCCTGACTCAATTATCAACTCATATACTTGAAGACCATAATCTTTCAAAAGTTGTAAACCACTCAACAGAGGTTGCATTTCTGCCTCCATATTTGTGCAATTACCATAATAAAGGGAACATGCTAGAATCAATTGGCCCATAGAATTTCGAAGAATTGCCCTTCCACCTGACTCTCCAGGATTAAATTTTGAAGCACCATCTATATTAAGCTTAATCAAACCATTAGCTAGGAATTTCCAAGCTATCCACCACGTACGTATCCTCACTGCACTAGTGTTAGGGAGATGTAATGATTGCAGTAACTCTACATCTTTAGCAATATCCATCACTTTTTTTTAATTATATGCACCTGTAACCTTATAAACAAGAGAACCTTCTTGACCAGGGTAGTATAATGAAGACAGTGATCCTCAACAATCCTGTTGCATCTTTCTTTCCATAATTGCCAGTACACCAATATAGTTACTCCCCTTAACAAAGTATGGCTCAGAGATAAATGTTTGAATTCTCTTACAAATCTTATAAATCTAGTGAGCGGATCCAAATTCGAAATTAACCTCAGCCCCAGTTGAGCTGAAATCGAACTCCAAACTAAACTTGCATAAGTACAGTTTATAAAAATATGGTCTGCCATCTCATAGTCTTTGTTACAAAAAACACATTTTCTAGCTAAAGAAACTCCTCGAAGCTTAAAAGTAGAGTCCATAGCCAATGCATTGTGAAATATCGTCCACCCTAATAATTTTGCACTTGGGGGAACTTTCTATTTCCAGATGGTTGCAGTTTGCACACTGATCTATCCCTCTATTCTTAAAACATTCCGTGCAGATTTAATAGTAAAACAACCCGAGGTCTCGTGCTTCTATATAAGCCTATAATTGGCTTCTCCATGAAGCAATTGAATAGATAATACTTCTTGTAACAAATGTCCATCTAAATTTATATGTATCTCACCAAGTTCCCACTGACCATCCACACACACTTGGAATAATTTTGGAAACTCCATTGGTTTCACTGAGATTTTGAGCACCAGTGGTCCATTACCAGACCAATTGCCACACCAAAAGTCCACGTTAGCCCCAGAACCAACTAATGTTAGAGTATTCTCAGCAACAATATTAAACCAGGGAGCTATTTCCTTATAACTTTGAGAATGCTTTCTTGTAGGAGACCTAAGTGGATGTCGACCTTTGAGAAATTTACTTGAAAAAACTTTAGAGCACAGAGAGTTGCCACTTAATAGGTTCCACACCTGTTTCATACGAAATGAACTTTGTACTTCCTGAAACTTTGTAATGCCCAGTCCACCTTCCTTTCTAGGCGTTGTAATCACCCTCCATGCACACCAATGCCTTTTCCTCACACCTGCCTTTCTAGACCAGAAGAATGCAGCCATAATTGAGTTCAACTTTGAGAGTATCCTGTTGTCCGAATTTGATATTGACAATTTACGTGCAAGTATACAAGATCAACAAGTAATAAACTGATAAGTAGAGTATCGTTCCCATGGAGAATTATTGCTAATAATATCCAAGTACTAACATTGTATCAATTCAATTTTATTTAAACAATTGGAATTGAACTATGGAATGACTAAATTAAAACTAAATCTATACTTAATAATCAAGAGTTGAATTTACCATGTAAAAGAACTTAAGATTACAACTTCCCCTAATGCTTCGTATAAATCTTTCTAACTCTCTTTCCAGTTAATTGATCAAAATAAGTTGTGAAATTGATCAAAATAAGCAATCACAAAATATGACAAACAACTCATATAAGATCAATAAGAACTAGAAACAAGAGTAGATAAATTTAACTAGACATAGGTTTCGTTGCAATCTTAATAATAATTTAGTTCATAACGTGATTGAAAGACATCATTCTAAAATTAAACAACATCTTAGAGAAACAAGAATTAAAGGTAAGAGAAAAGAATGAAAACTTAGGTGCAATCTTCAATCCTTCTCTAGCCTTCAAGACCAATCTTCTTCGCGTCGATTCATTCGATTCTTGTCTTCAATTTTCTTCGAATTTCTTGATTTTTCCAGATGTTTTCAGCCCCTAAAAGTCAGAATCTTTCATCCCCACACAAACCCTAGCATATATGTAGCTTTAGGGTCCAATTTCGGGTAAAAAACAATGAAAAATTTGTGTCACAGACCAAAACAAGCGCGGGGGCGCCATAAATCTGCGCAGGGGTGCGCCCCTTGGTAAGCTGGTTGCTCCAGACCAATTTTTGTAGAATCATCATAAATTTTGATACAACCATCGGATTTAGCTGACATTTTGCCACCAGACAGAAGACATCCAGATCTACAACTTTCATGTTTTGCACGTTGTCATATTCGAAGTGGGTCATGGTCAAAAAGGTAGAAAACCGAGGTACTGCTACAAGACAATGTGGGTGCTGATGCCTATGTTACCAAACACCAATACCTCCTTGATTTCTTTCACTTTTAAGCATCCAAATCCTCATGTAATGTGTCCATCTCTTCACCACTCATCCACACTTAGTTGCAAGGCTCTAAAATCCATTATTTACGCTATAATTACTCCATTACAATGCCCTTTAGCTTCCTCTTCAAAAATCCAATACTTAGGATCCCATTTTGACCTTGTTTCCTGCCAAATAATCATGATTCCTTACAAATGATCATCCCTACAAAATAACATCAAAATACACAAAAAAAATTAAAATTAATATAAAATAATTGAAAGCTTGCAATTTCATTAAGCCGAAAGTACTCAATTCATAGGTATAAAACCCACTCATCAAATACCCCCAAACTTAAATCCTTGCTTGTCCTCAAGCAAAATGCTAAAAAAAAAAAACTATAACAATTAATCAACCAACTACTCAAACAATGGATCAATATGAATATGAATAATGGCCCCAAAAGTTAATACAAATAATAATTCACGGGAACTTCAAAACAGTGTAAAGTCTATTAATTCAACATACTCCCTAATTTTACCTCCGGTCATGACCATTTAAATACATGGACATATCCGGACTATCAAGCTAGTCATCATCCAAATACATTTACGTAATCAAATACTTCGTAGGAGATACTCAATATCAACTCTATAAACTTACGTTTCACACTAACCTCTACTCATTAAGGCAACCATATAAATAGAAAGACCAAAGAATTTTTTTTTTCACTCTTTTTTCTCTTTCGGTGAGTGCATTTTCTGCTCCATCTCACTTCCTATTGAGTGAGTGCGTTTTACGCTCCATCTCGCCTTTTCTTGAACGAGTGCTTTTTATGCTCTATCTCGTTCTCAACATGTGTTTATGAGTGAGTACGTTTTACGCTCCATCTCTACTCATCACATGCCCTTTTCTTGTTTTTTTTTGCCTATTTTTTTTTCATCTAGCTCATGAAAGATCAAATAAAAATAATGTTCAAACACTTTTTTTTCTTTTCTTTTAAACTAACCCAACGTAACCAATATTTCCCCAAACTTATATGAATACCTCAATTCGCTTTGAATGATGCTTAAATAAGTTTTCTAAAGTTTCAATGATATCTCCCACAAGCATTTAACCAAATAAATTCTCTAAATAATAACTAACCAAACAGATTAGATATGTGTTCATGAATGAAAAGATCACAAATAGTGTAAAATCAGCTAGTATGTCAACCTACAAACTCAACATGTTCATCAATTTCCCTTAAATTTACAATTGATTCCATTCATCATTGGCCATAATCAAATTAAATCAACCCATTGCTCAAGTCATACTAAAATATGCAATCTAAATGCATACCTAATAATGCAAATGCAAACAAGAAAACACCCCCAAACTTAAACTAAACATTGTCCTCAATGTATAAAGTAGAAAAAATTAAGACAGAGGACTTCCCTGAGACTTTGCTAGTTCGCATCATCGTCAGCGTCCTCGTCGTCCGCTGAGTAGGGAGTGTATTTGGGAAACATAGGTGGGCTGTTCTTGGCTCTTAGTAAAGCTTAGTGTGTGCTCCAACTTTATGTTCAATCCTTGGGACCTGCAGGCAATTGAAATAGCAATTAAAATGCACTAACTAACTAGCTACATTATTTCTT